ATCCTCCTGCCTCAGCCTCCTGAGTGCTGGGATTACAGGCGTCCACCACCATGCCCGGCCAATAATTTTGTTTTTAATATGTGAGAAACTGCCATAGTTTTCCACAGCAGCTGTACCATTTTACCTTCCCACCAGTAGAACACAGAAGCTCCAGTTTTTCTACATTCTGGCCTGTACTTGTTACTTCCCACTTTTTTCCATAGTAACCAGTCTAATGGGTGTGAGGCTTTTGAAAGCTTGTCATTCTGATAGTGATCAGTCTGTAATAATGTGTTAACAGTGATTTCAATAAGAATTTTTTCTTTACAGACTAAAACTAATGTCCATGAGAAAGATTCAGATATTCAAGAATTTAACCTAGAAAAGGTATGTATTTTGAGATTGTTATATTATTTATAATTAATTTAGAAGTTTATTGTAGTTATATTAAATTTATATTTGTAAAATTTATAATACATTAGCGGATTTATTTCTAGCACAGAAACATCCCAAATATTTTACATGTCTGATGGCTAGAGAAATCGCTAAGTGAGTTCTCACCATGTTCACTTCATTGACTGTCACACTCACTTAAGACAAGACAGTTTTCCAGCTACAATAGCAATGAGAAGATGGTAAGTTAGAAAGGCAGAGATGTCTTTTGCATTTGTAGCAGGTTTTAAAAATATGTTTAAAAAAAAGAACAGGAGAAGGTAATTCAACAACTAAGAGTGTGGGTTTTGGTAACACGCTATCTTCTTTCTGAAGACTTGGGTCTGCATGCCATCTGCCATGACTCGCGGGTTGACATGTAGGTGGGTGTGTCTGCATCGTACTGTTCAGCTGAAACCATTGCCTTTCTGGGTGATGGCTTGTTGGATGGAGCATCCTAGGATGCTGCAGAGCTCTGCCTTGTGTCCTGGCTGTCTTTACATTGTGCAGCGATAACTCTTGGCTTTGGCTGTCAAACAAGGGAGGATGATGTCATGAGGCAACGGTGATGTGAAAAGGGAGCCTCTGTGGTGATCCTGCAGCCACACCCAGCCGACCCATCATCACGCTTGCTTTTGGGCTGGCACTGTATGTCTGGCTGTGTTACCTGGGGATGTGCCTCTTCGGTGGCACCACTGGGAAGCACCAGGGTTGGACTCTGTTTGCTATTCTCAGGCTCGATTGGAAGTGCACCGGTTTGGGATTACAGGCTACGGGAAAGGAAAGGAAAGAGTCCTGGAAAGGGAACGCGCCATCATGCTCGGTGCCAAGGTGAGGGGTACTTCATTGGCAGGCGGGTGCAGAAAGGGGGTCCAGGGTGACACATGGACGTGGGGACTTTTTGAAGAACAAAATTTGACCATGTATGTTCTTATTCCTTCATTTTAGCCTCCCAGAAATACTTACATGAATTACAAGGTTTTGCAGGACCAAATTAAAGCAAAACAGGCAGCAAAGGAGGAAGAGAAGAGAGTGGTAGGTATAATATACTATAGTCTGTTCTTTGGTCAGTAAAACAGTGTGATGGGTGCAGCCAGCCACAGTGACATTGCAGGAGGCCACTCCCTACTAAGAAGTCAGGACACAGAGTTGCATGGGAAATTCCCTCTACTTTGCATCGGCTTCATCTTGTAATACAGCTGAGGATCTAGCGTGTTGACAGGAAACGCTGCCTGCTTTCCAGTGCTGCCTTGTTTTGTACATTTCACACTGTAAAGCACACAGAGGCCTATGAAAACCACAAGAAAAAGATATGACACTCCCTTCTTTACACCTGAAATAGAAGTGACTGGACTTTTCAGCATAAGACTGTCTTACCCAGAATAGCCTTTTACATTCTTGAAAGGGTTTCAAGATGAGACTTTGAGACTGTATGTTTAATATGCCCACTTGAAAAAATTATTAAAAATAAGTGGTATGTTGGTGGCTTTGATCAGAAACCTCTTGCCCTTTTTTGAATCTCCATTATCCATTACTGACACATTTATTATTTTAAATTCTAAAATCAGGCCCAGGATGCAGATATTTTCAAGAGAAAGAAGAGGAGAGGACAGGAAGATAGGTGAGTGATATCTGCAGGTGCCGGGACTGACTGCCAGGGTGAACATCTTAGATCTGACACAGTGTCTGGTGTGTGTGGTTCCAGCTGTTAGAGAGCCTCTCTGCCTTGGTTGTCCTTATCAAGACTATGGGGGGAAGGGGCTGGGGATTTAGCTCAGCGGCAAAAGCGCCTGCCTAGCAAGCGCAAGGTCGTGAGTTCGGTTCCCGGTACCGGAGAAAAACCAAAAAAT